AATTGTTCTCTGAAGTTGCTAGACAACGTGAAATTCTTAGCAGAAACATATCCACTCAGTAAGAATAACTGAATTTTGAAGTACAATAGCTCATAATGTTATTTTGTGACTTTCAAAATATGCATTAGTTTAGTGTTATTTTGCCAGTGTCAGATTCATTTATTTACTTTAGGAGTGCTTATCAGGTTAATTATCACAAATACTGATTAATAGACTAACAGGTGGAAAAACATACAAAAATTCCATATTACAGTTATACTAAATCAAGATACAATCTTAAAGACATTGTTTATAATTTTGTTGAAGTTTTTTATGCGTTTACTGGCCTTTGTATTTCATCTAAGAAATGTCTGTTCATCAGATACCTATTTATTATTTGGTCTTTAACTTTGGGAGGGTTAAATTTTTGAGTTCTTCATATACCCTAGAATTTGGGTATTCATATACCCTAGAATTTGGAATTTCATCTGGGATGTGGCTTGCAAATGTTTTTAGTATTCTGTAAGTTATCTCTTCACTGTTTTGTTGGTGTTCTTTGTTGTGGAGATTTTTAATTTGATATGATATCATTTGTGGATTTTTAATATTATTTCTTGTGCAACCTAGATTCTGTTCAGAAAGCCAACCTATGTCTTCAAAAGACATTTTGTATTCCATCAGATTGCATTTCTGATTTAATATTGAGAACGTTCATACATTTTGATTACAGTTTTAGTGCAGGGTGAGAAATACAGTTCATTCAATCTTCAACATGCAGACTGCCAGGTTTTCCAGCACCATTTGTTAAAGAAGCTATCTTTCCTCCAGCAAAAGTATTTGGCCACTTTGTCAAAGGTAAGATAGCTGGGTGCTTGTATTTCTTTTGCGTTTTCCATTATGGTCCATTGAGTCACAAGTCTTTTTGTCCTCCTAATACCATGCTGTTTTTTATCGCTGTAGCTTTGTAATACAACTTGAAATTTGGGATCGTGACAGTTCCTGTCTTCCCCTTGTTACCCAAATTGCTTTTGCTCTTCTAGGTCTCCTCTGGTTCCACATGGATTTAAGGATTTCTTTCTCTAGTTCTGTGAGGAACACTATTGGGGTTGAGACTGGGATTGCATTAAATCTGTGTAACAGTTTCAGAAACATGGTCATATTGATTATATTGACTCTGCCTATATTATGAACAGGGGATATTTTCTGGTACCCTCTTGGAGCTCCTTTTGTAGAGTACTGCAGTTTTTAGAGTAGAGGTCTTTCACTTCCTCGGTTATGTTAATTCCTACATATTCCATTGTTCTTGATACTATTAAGAAAAGAATTGTTTCTCTAGTTTCTCTCAGTGAGTTTATTATTGAGGTACAGGAACACTACTGAGTTTTGAGTGTTGACTTTGCATCCTGCCATCTACTGAATTTTGTTATTAATTGTAGCAGTCTTCTGGTGAAGTTTTGGAGAATGTGCATGTAGTGGGTCACATCATCTGCCAATAATGGTCATTTTACTTCTCCCTATCCTATCCATATCACTTTTTTCTCTTGGCTAATTGCTCTGCTAATGTTCCAAGAACTATACTGAACAGCTATGTCCTCAGTAGGCATCCGTGTCTTGTTCCTGATGTTAGAGGGAAAACTTTCAGCTTCTGTCCATTTAGTATGATGCTGGCTATTGGTTTGTTATAGACGGATGACTTTTCACATTGCACTAGTGTGATCACAAGTGAGTCTGATCATAATTTTTTGGTTGTCATTTCTTTGTATTTATTTTGTGAGAAACTGCCTTTATATGTGTTTGCATCATCTTTGATCATTATTTTTGTTCATTTGTAAGAATTCTTTGTATACAACTTAATTGGACGTTAGCGCTATGCATTCTGATTTTTCAGCGTGTATGTGCACAGGTGTGTATGTATATATAGTGTTGTCCCCTTTAAGAATTCATCTTTTTACATAATAAAATTTGATAGCCTTTCCTTTGTTCATTTTCTGTTGTGTGCTCTACTTAGAAAGGCTTTTCATCTTCCAAATTTATACTTATAGAAATAACATTTTCTTGTAATTATTTCATGTTTTACTTCTTAAAGGTCAGTATTGGACTCTCTGCCCTACTTGAACTTTGAAGAAAACCTATCCCTAGCTAGCCAGCTTTTACACATTGGAGAGGGCATTTGGGCACCTGAATGAGGGGCCCTCTACCACTGAGCTATATCTTCAGCTCTTTTAATATTTGTGGTTTTAAGAGAGGGTTTGTAGGCTGCTCAGACTGGTCTTGAATTTGAGGCCCTCTCACCTTAGCCTCTTGAGTAGCTGGGGTCACAATTTGTGAAGCTGTTTGTTTTTTTTACAGCTGTGTTTCTCCTAGCAACGAGGCGTGTGATCACGTTTTGAAAAGAACCGCAGTCTGGACTGCAGGGAACCGAAAGCAGCAAGCGTCTGGGGATTTTGATAACAGCTCTGAGAAGTAGCACTTCTAGGGTCCTGCTTGAGTGCAGAGTTGTGCCTGGGACTGGATTGTGACTCACTGTGACTCAGTGATCATCCCTACGATGCCTAGATCAGAATTCTCTGCAGCCTGGCCCTGTGCCTCCAAGACACCTCCCCCCACTTACTGAGTGTAGACACACTGGTGTCCTTCTTTGCCTGTGGATCCACCGTGGGGGGTGCAGGGGAGTCCTTCTTTGGGGTTGTACTCACCACGGAGAAGCCTCACCATGACTCCCTTCCAAGGCACAGGGCCACACTGAGCCACTGGTTTTCGAGAGCTCAGGTGGCTCTGTGACTTCTTTGCATCTGGGAGATTTGTTTCTCTACTAGGATTTGATTGAGATATTGTTTACCCAGAGGAAAATGGCGAGGTCCTGGTTTGCTGTGTGTTTTACGCATATAGGAGCCTGTGGGACACCATTCCCACCAGGATGGAAGCATCCGCAGCCTTCACGGACTCCTTCATGCCCCTCCCAAGCAGCGGCTGAGGGAGAACCAGAAATCAGAGCCGCACTGACCCTGATGGAGCTGGAGTCGTCTGTGCTGGCTGCTTCGCCTGGGAGTGACTGTCATCCATGTTGTTCCCCAAAACCAGCTCCTTTTGCTTCATCCTGTGGAGTCACAGTTTCTGTCTCCCTTTTCCTGTGACCAACATGTGGCTGTTTCCAGGTTGAGGCCGTGGTGCTAGAGCTGTTCTGAACACTCCCTGGTTTCCTCTCTCTGAGGTTCACAGTACGGAGCAGAATAGCTGAACAGAGAAGATATTGTACTATACAGTCCAAACAGTTATAAACTGTACCTTTTTTTTCCTCTTTCCCTTTTTGTTTTTATTATCAGGAAACAGGGTCTCTCTGTGTTGCTCAGGCTGATCTGAAACTCGTTGGTTTGTGCGAACCTCCTGCCTCATCTTCCGGAGATATGGGACAGAAGCCATCCACCCCCAACCCTTGTTCTGGGATGTATCACTGTGTACTCTACCCTCATATGGTGTGTTTTCTATTTGTTCCAAATTCCAAACTGGCAATTGCCTGCAAATGAAATAGCCTCACCAGTGCCTGTCATGTTACAGAGTATTAGGAAGTGTTTCCCTTCCTCTCCCTTTCTTCTGCTCCAACTGAGTTCTCTGCTCCTTAAAGTCAGCCAAACTCTGGTTGAATGAGGAACATACCTGGGATGCAGGGTGCAGAGGGGTCACATGGCTTCCACCTTGGGAGGATGCGCAAGAAGTTGTCATTGAAAATTTTAATGCCTCTGTTCAAAGCATAAGAACAAAGCGAGGCAAGGACCTGTGCATGGCTCAGGTCATCTTATTCTCCTCATGCCCAGAACACACTTGTTTTAGTCTACTTTGCCACAGACTAGGTGATTCATAAATGACAGGAATTGTTTTCTCACTGTTCTGGAGGCTTGGTAGTCTGATACCAAGGCACTGGTGCTTGCCAGGGCCTTCCTGCAGCGTCAGCCATGGAAGAATAAGGTGGAAGGTGGAAGAATAAATGAGGACACAAGCGAGAGCAAGAGCTCTTCTTTGAGGCTCGTGCCCTTTTATGATCAGCATCAATAGATGAGAGATTTGCAGACCCCTCTGCCTCCACTGCAGCCCACTTCCTAGCCCTGGTGCACTGGGGACTGAGCCAGCAACTCCTGCTCTTTGAGGCCATAGCAGCATTCAGCAGCTCCTCCCTAGCTTGTGATGTGGCCTTCTCAGTTTCCTGCAGCAGGCCCCTGAGTGACTTCAGTGAACTTATTGTCACCCTCCTCTCCACCACCAGCCTATGCTACTCTTTCTCTTACAGCCAATCATTTCCTTACTGTGATTAAAAGCAACTTCTTGTAATGTTCCTTATATCTGCTTCCGTGTTCCTTCAGTGTACAACTTCTCTCTCCATCCCAAAACCCATGGAAAAGGGAGATAATGGAAGGAAGGAAGAAATTCATAGAGGGGAAAGAAAGAGAGGAAGAAGGAAATCCATAGATTCAATAGAAGCTTTCGGGTCACCCATTCCTACAGAATATGTCTGTAGTATGGTGGATTTTTTTCCAAAACTCTTCTCCCTAATCATGGTTTTGAATGAGGAATATAAATTGAAAAGGAAGAAATATTTTCACTAGATCTCAAGTATTCTCCAAGAGTTTCAAGTGGCCATGCATGCGCTGTCCAACCTTGGGTCCATCCCTCTCACTCTCTGAGTCCCACTTCTCTGTGTGCTCAAGGGCAGAAGCAGCCTCCCCACCACTGCCCCTGCCCAGCCCGGGGCTCCCAGCACCCCAGGATGGCGCATGCTTGGGAAGCCCGGCACACACTTCCAGGTAGTGCAGTCAACAACTCACTGCCATCCCACTTTCCACCTTCATGGACCAAATAGCATGCTGTCTCTGGGTGGTGGGCAAGAGGAGGAAGGAGAGAAGGCCGCTGCTCTGGGAGGGGCCTTCCCTGGAGCCCGTGCTGACCTGCACCCCACCCCATCCCACCCAAGCACATCAATCTCTCTCTATGTAGGCTTCCTTGCTCCTGGCTCCTTCCTGTTGAGCTGCTGCCAAACTGTGTTGCTGTCTGTTTCCTTAAATAGACCAGCTCTGTGCGGTGACAGCTGAGTTGGTGTGAAAAGCAGCAGGTGACAAAGAGGCCCCAGAAAGATGGGATCTTATCAAAGCCAACCTGAACAGGTGAGTTTCGGGCTGGCCCAGAGGGAGCTGGCTGCACCACCAGGGAGGAGCCACTCTGGGTCACTGAGGAAATGGCTGGGTGGCAGGGAGTGGTGGTGGGGATCCCAAAGAGACCTGAGGAGGGGGAAAGGCCAGAGGAGGACACATGGATGCAGCTTCTTTCCCATGGCAGCCTCATCCAAGGCAGCCTCTGGGACACAGGGATGTTAACCTGAGTCAGGGCTTTCACCCTCATTACTGACCTCCCTTTGGGTGTCTGCTCCATCCTAGGTGTTCATGGCAGACAAGCCTATTAGGATCTTCACAGGTGACAGTTTGCATAAAGAGAACATAAACAGGCTTCTGGGAGGACAACAACCCACACAAATGGCACTAAATCTACCTTCACTGGAGATGGCTTCTGGAATTCAGCCATTCACTAGCAGAATGGCTCCAGTCAGAGTATATTTACGTCACTGGGCCTTGATTTCCACATCTGTGTAATGGGTATAATACTCAAGCCCACCTCCAAGAGTAGAGGAGAGAGTGAGCAATGTATATTTTCTACTGTGTCTGGATGCAGCTGCTTTGGGAATGTTAGAGATATCGTATCTGTGGGGGAGGTCTCCAAAGAGGTGTCTGTGTCCTGAGGGGTGAGCTGGAGTTCAGTAGGCAACGCTGCACCTGGCTGTCTGCACAGAGGCCACCTGAGAAGTAAGGAACCATGAGGACTGGGCCTGCAGTGTGGAATTCAAAGAGAAGCCTTTCCCTCAGTTTTACTGCCTGCCAGAGGCAGTGGGTAAACACTGCAGGGCTCTCGTTCCCTCTTCCTCTGTGGATAAACTGATGCCCTGAGGTTGAGGCACTTGGCCAGTGTCCCCCAGTGGAAAGCTGAGGAAGATGCCTGGATTCACCGCCAGAAGAGGGCTGCCCACAGAGAGAGCAACACTGCGGGAAAGCAGGAACGTGGTAGCCTGGTCCCAATCCTTCCCGGGGTCATTGCCAACCAAGTACCTGACACAGGAAGAGGATGAGTAGAGGGAGCCACAGAGCCTACGAACAAGATGGCGCTTGGCTCCGAGGGATGCTCACTTAAGTAGGGGACCCTCTAGCTCTGACCCCCTGAGGCCTGCCGCTGTGGTCCATGCCCCTCAGCACCGCCATTGTTCCCATGGTGGGACCTTCAAGGAGGAGCTGGGAGAGGCTGGTGAAAGCCGGATGGGACCTGTGTGGCGATAGTGGGTCAGAGTGCCTCGCTTCTCTGGCTCCTCAGCAGCTGAGAAAGTACAGAAACTGAGAGTTAAACAGGCCTTGGGTACTGAAAGAAAGAGGACTGTGTCACCCTATGGAGTAGGCAGGACCCATCCATGCAGCTGGCCTCCCGCAGTGACCTGCTGAGATCTCACAGCTGCAGGCAAGCACACATCCTGCAAATGCCGGCTGGGCAGGAAGTCACGCAAAGACAGCGCAGTTGAGCAATCAGAGCCCCGCCTGACTCCGGCACCTGATTCCCTGTTCTAGCAGCCTTCTCCTCAGGCCAGGAATGAAGCTGAGTCCACAGCCAGGGGGACCCGGTGGGGGGCAGGAATAAGGATGCTCTCTGCTGTATCATAGGCAGCCTGGGTTGGGCTTGAAAGCATGAGTCCTGGGGTTCAGATCCCAGCTCGCTCACTGAGCAGCTGTGGGGTTTGTGCACCTTACAAACCTCTCTGTGCTAAAGTTGTCTCATGCATAAAAGTGACAGTGACAATGGTAAAGGTTGCTATGAGAAAAACAAGATAACACAGACTCCAAAGGTGGGTGACCAGCAGGGTCCTTTGGCTAACAGCTGTGCACTCTGGTCAGCCTTGTTTCACCAGACTGGAGTTGTGTCCCCCAGTCACACTGGGGCACCAGAAAGAGGATGCTATACTTTGGCTTTAAGGGTCTGCTCTGCTTCCTGGACCTATAGGCAGGAAGAGGACAAAAAGTTGCCTCCAGGAACCCCCAGGGCAGGGGAACAAGTTTGCAACCCTCTGAGGTACTAATTTGTGTTAATGCAAACAGTTGCTTGTTTGAGCCACTCCCCAGCCAGACCTTGAGCTGGGATGAGGGTGTCCTTCTGCTTCTGTGGCTTCCTTGCAGCGTGGAGATGAAAAAGGGAGGTGATGGGATCCAGAGACAGAGCAGGAAGATTCAGAAAGCTTGCTCTGATGACCAGTGTTACTAGGAGAAACTCAGCGCTGAATCCTCTCAACCTCATTCACAGTGGAGCGGCCTCTCCAGAATGAGTGTGTGTGTGTCTTCATGTGTGTGTGCCAATGACACTTCCACATTCAATTTCTCTTTTTCACAGGAACCTGCACCAGAACCACAAAGTCATGTAAGTGGTGTGTGGGTGGTGGCCAGAGATTTCATTTGCTATGGCAGAGTGGGTGGTCAGTGGCAGCTGTGGTAATTCGCAGACTTCTGTGATTAAATAGGGTCCTTTAACAAGATGAAATTTAAAAAATACTCCTGAAAATTAGAATTATTTTGGAAGGAGCTTTCAACATTGAAATGTTCTCTTGAGGGTGAGCTTATTCTATGACCTTCGCTTGTCATCCCAGTCAGGAGGGTGGCATTAGTGTCCCAACAGGTGGAAGGGACCCAGAACACAGAGGGTGAGGTGAGCTGTCCAACAACACAACTGCATGCACAAGGAGCTGGTCCAGGAGCTAACCCTGTGGGGTGAGGAAATAGCTCCTTGGCTTTGCATGGTGGGAGGCCAAGCAGGTCCCATTGATCTGTGCTAAGCTCCCTCACTGACCTGCACACTTCTAATTCCATGGTAGCCATGGTCATCCAAGTTTAAAACAATATGAACTGCACTGCATTGTCTTATAACTCTGTGGGGCAGAAACTGAAAGGCCCACATTGAAAAGCTGAGGTTTAGTTTAGTGTTTAGAGGCCGCTAGAACACTGTGGATTTGAGCCTCTGTACTGCAGAGAAAATAAATGAAAGACATGGTCAGCTCATTTTCTTCCAGAGGCTCCAGGGAGATGCATCTCTGTTTCCCTTACAGATTCTTGAGGGCCTACATGCATTAGCTCAGGCTCCTCCCTCTGTCTCCATTAGCCAGGTGCTTCTTAGCCCCGGGTGAAGTTCAGTGGTAAACACTGGTTGAGTACTCGGTCTGGAACACAACACAGGGTTCAAGTGAAAGATAAAAACCAACATCTTCTTGCCTGAGTTTTCACATCCTCTCCTTTGACCCTGTGCATCCCACTTGTCTTATACAAGGTGACCACAAAGGACCACAAAGTACTCACCTGGGCCTCAGTGTGGGGTCCACATTGCCAGCCTCAGAGTTTAATTTAGTTGCATCTGCAGACCGTTTTCCTGTCAAGGTCACATTGATAGCTTCCAGGAGTGGGATGGGAGTGTGGTTGTTTCTGACCTTGGGGGGCTGGGACAAGGATGTCATTGTGGTTCCAGTGGCTTCCTTGAAACAGAAAGTTAGGAAAGCCAGGAGATAGGATCCAGGGACAGAGCAGGAAGATCCAGAAAGACTCTTATAACAACCGAGGTCACCAGGAGATACTGAGGGCTGAACCCTCTCAACCTTACGCATGCTGGGGCAAATCCTCCAGAATGGGCATGTATGTGTGCACATATGTGTGCGTCCATAATAATCTGAATTTAAATATGTGGGTCACTTTTCCACAGGATGCTGGACCAGAACCCAAAACTCAGGTAAGTGGTATGTGGGTGTTGGCCGTAGATTTCATTTGCTAAGAGAGGTTGGTGGTGAGTGGCAGCTGGTGGTGATCCTCTGACTTCTGTAATTAAAAAGAGTGTTTTATCAATCTGAAATATGAAAAGTAGACATGAAAATTAGAATAATTTTAAAGGCACTTTCAACAGTAAATGGTCCCTTGAGAGTGAGCCAATTATATGGCCTCCGCTTATCCCCACAGTTAGAGGCTTTTTTAGCAAGAAGAATGTATGGCTGTAATTTATCACCAAGTAGAAGGGGGCCCAGAGCATCGATAGATGAGGGGACTCATTCAAAACCACAACTTCTGGCACAGGCAGCTTTCCAGGGAGCCAATCCTGTGCAGCCAGGAAACAGCTCCATGACTTGTTTTTTCAGTTGACACATTTATTTTCTATTTAATAGATCATCATCAACTTCCCCCTCTCTACCACTGGAGTTTCATCTTGCTTCCATGCTGAGTAATGCAGAGTGATCAGGCCGACTAGAATAAGCTACTTGAAGTAAGGCTTCCTTTCCTTTAGCACTCAGTTACAGACGCGTTCTAGAATGCACAGTGTGTTAGTCATCAGGAGACTTAAGAGGCAACTTGAAGGATGTAGTCAAGCCCAGGCTGCAGTAAACATTGACTGAGATGTAGCAGAACTCCCTAAGGGCCCCCGGTGCTGCACCCTTTGGCCACTAGCTGAGTCTTGATGTGGAGAAACTTTTAGCTAATGCCAAGGGAGACAAAGCGGGTCCCACTTTTTTCCACTAAGCTCTATCACTGACGTTGACACCTCTAGATTCCACAGCGGCCTTGGTCATCCAAGGCTAAAGTAATATGAACTGCAGTTCATACTATTTCTATCTCTGTGGGTAAGAGATCTGAAAACCATGTGTTAAAGCCTAAGGGGTAGCTCGGTGGTTATGGGTGTCCAGAAGACTGTGGATCTGAACTTCTGCACAGCAGAGAAATTAAATGAAGTTTAATTTCAGTCAGTTTATTTTCTTCCAGAGGCTGCAAGAGTCTTCTCTGTTTCCTTTGCAGCTTCTTGAAGGCTGCATGCATTGGCTCAGGCTCATCCTTGTCTCCATAGCCAGGAGCATCTTGGGCTCAGGAGTGAAGTTCAGTGGTGAACACTGGTGGAGTACTCTGCCTGGAACACAGCACAGGATACAAGTGAAAGATAGCATCTTCTTGTTCCTTTGTGACATTTATTCCTATAACCCTGTGTTTCCCACCTGGCCCATACCAAGGCTGCTGTGATCACAAAGGACACACCTGATCCTCAGTGTGTGGACCATGTTGCCAGAATCAGAGTCTTAATTTAGTCCCATGGGCAGACTCATTTCCTTTAAGGCCACAGTCCTAGGATCCAGGGATGGGATGGGAATGTGGTTGTTTGTGACCTCAGGCAGCTGGGACAAGGGTGTCATTCTGCCTTCAGTAGCTTCCTTGCAGCATGGAGCTGTGAAAGGGCAGTGATGGGATCCAGAGACAGAGCAGGGAGATCCAGAATGGTTGCTGTGGCAACCAAGTTAGCTAGAAGATACCCAAGATTACTTAACTCTCTCAACTTCATTCATGTTGGAGTGGCCCCTCCAGAATGAGTGTGTGTGTGTGTGTGTGTGTGTGGGTGTTTGTGTGTGTATGTGTGTGTGTGTGAGTGTGTGTGTGTCAGTGACCCTCCCACATTTGTTTGTCTCTTTTACACAGGATTCTGAAGCACAACACAAAGTTCATGTAAATGGTGTGTGGGGGCTTTGGTTTGCTATGACAGGTGGGTGGTAAGTGACACCTGCTGGTGATGTTCTGATTTCTAAATTAAAATGGGTCCTTTATGAAGTAGAATTTATAAAATACTCTTGAAAATTAGAATAAATTTGAAAGGAGCTTTCAACTTTGAAATGGTCCCTTGAATGTGAGCCAATTATGGAGCCTTCACTTGTCCTCGTACTCAGAGGTTTTTAAACAAGTAGGACGTGTAGTCCTAATGTCCCCCCAAGTGGTACAGAGCCCATGACACAGGCAGGTGAGGGGACTTCTCCAACATCACAGCCCCTGGCACAAGCAGCTGTCCAGGGAGCCAATCCGGTGGGGCCAGCACATTAGTGCCATGGTTTTACACGGGGAAATCAAAGCTGTTCCCCGATTTGTTTCCACTAAACTCCCTCACTGGCTGTCACACCTCTAGATTCCAAGGTAGCCTTGGTCATTCAAGCTTAAAATATAAACTGCACTCTACTGTCTCATAGCTCTGTGAGTGCGTGTGCGTGTGTGCCCATAATACGCTATAACACATTAAGATTACTGGTCTCTTTTCCACAGGATCCTGAAGCAGAACCTAAATCTTACGTGAGTATTGTGTGGTTTGTGGCTGGAGATTTCATTTGCTGTGGTGGGGTAGGTGGTTAGTGGCAGCTGGTCGGGATCCTCTGATTTGCAGAATTGAAAAGGGTCCTTTATCAAGCTGAAATTTAAAAAATTCTCATGAAAATTAGAGTGATTTGAAAGGAGCTTTGTACTTTCAAATGATTCCCTGATTGTGATCTAATTCTATGACCTTTGCTTATCACCCTGGAATACTTTAGTGTCTGTCCCAAGGTCCTTCCATAACAGTGAAGGCCACCTGCTTTGGAAACACTGGAAAGTTGTCATTTGACCATGTCCATGTCCATTCAAGGGACATTCAGTATATTCACACTGTTGTCCCCCATTTTCACTAATCACCCTCAAAACCTTTCTCACCTTCCCTAAATGAAGTGCTGGATCTGTTAACATTTTCCTGTCTCTTTCTTGGGAAATACAACTTTTTTCTTCTGACTTATGAATTAACAACTTTTTAAAGGATTATTTTTAGTGACACGGTTATTGTGTATATTTCCTGGTTATCTTCTAGGCAAAAGAAATGACACTTGTTTTCAACTCTTAGTGATTCAAAATGCCTTTTGTGAGGCTGTAGCCCAGTGTGACCCTGCTGTGAAGCTGGGCAGAATCAGGGAGCTACAGCTCCAGCCACCAAGTTGTCATGGGAAATGACTAGGACTCCTGCTGTGCCCATAGGCAGGCCAGGCTCCCTGGTCACATTTTCAATTTTATAGCATTTTCACCTTATGATGAGTGTCTCTGGTGTAACTCCATTGTATTTGGAAACCACTCTTGCTTTTATAAACTTTCCCAGCTCTAATCCTTCAAACTGAAGCTCTTAGAGGGGATTTCTAATGCCACCGATTGAATCTGGGAAAAGGAGCCAAGGTCTCTGAGCTTCTCACAGAGTCTGCTTGGAACAGGAGTGGATTGGCGAGGGCGTCTCAGTGATGATGCAGTGTCTGACGTTTCTCTCCTCCTTTGGACAGAAAGTGGGCAGCACCAGCAAGCAGCTGCCCCTATTTTCTCTGCAGACCAGAAGTTCAAAGTGAACTTCGGATCACAGGCTCTGTACTACGCCCCATTATGAAAAGCTCTGATCACCCTATTACTGCTCTGCCAGCACGTCATTCTTATCACAGTTTTGTACCTGAGCAGAAAAACAGAGGCTCTAAAGTTAAGGCATTTTCTCAGGACTCCCCCAGCCAGCAGCACTGACTTGAAATGGGCAGTCGTATGGTCAGTAAAGCTCAGGGCTTTGGGCTGAGGAATGGCTCATCAGAACATGTCAAGCCTAGCAAGCACAAGGTCCTGGGTTCAATTCTTGCACTAGAAGCAAATCAGAATTAAAAACCTTGGGCCTCTGAGCAACATGAGAGAAGGAGGAATGGACGCCAAACCTCATCTCCTTGCTGTGTGACTGGTGGAAGGTGCAGGGAGTGGGAGGTCCACCTGAAGTAGTTGCTGCAAGCACTCAGCACACAATGGATGCAAGAAGGCTGGATGTCTCTGTCCCCTGGGACCTCCCAGGAACCCCAAGGCAGTTCCCAGGAAGGGGATCATCGCAGTGACCACGGTGACCCCGGGACTTCCCCTTTGCTGCCAGTGTGGATGTCAGATTCTGACTCCACCCACTTTAAAAACAGTTTGAAAACTTGTGTTTCTACTCCCTTCCTCTGCTGCTGGCTGGGAGACAGAGCTGCCCTGAGGAGCCCCCTCCCTTAGCTGTCCCTCCGCTCATCAGTGACCACTGCAATACTAGCAGCTCCAGTAATTCGGTCAATCTATGTTACATTTGTAAATTTTTCATTCTTTGCACTACCAATACTTTTATTTATTGAATCTGTTTCTTTAAGGGAAGCTGCTCTTTAATATATTTATTTCATGCTTTGAACTCACCCCATCTATCTGTTTTGAACAATCCTCCCAACTCTTGACTTGTAAAGACAACATTTCTTTTGAAAGACACCATGAGATTGTTCTTTTATTGCAGTTTCTATGAGCAACAGGCTGTTGGCCTTGATTTGAATACTTTTTCCTGAGCTGTCACTGTTGTGTTTCTAGAAGGTTTGGGAAAGTGCTGTTGCGTTTCAGGAAGTTTATATCACCACGAGCTCATCCTGAGAGTGTCTCGGGCCTTCCTTTACATAATCATGCCTCTCCTGAAAGACTGAGATCCACTTTTCAGCTTGTCTCAATTGAGCCGTAACTTGAGGGTCTGAAGCTTAAGGCATCCATCTGGAGTTTATCACTGTTCATTAAATCAAAGAGCAGCTGGCATGGTGGCGCATGTCTGTAGGTTCAGCACACTGGGACCTGGGCAGCTTCATGAGGTCAGTCCTCTCCAAGGGGGCATCACCTGGACTCACTTCACCCCAACCCTTGTAATTTATTTTGAATATTTGGCCCCACCCTTCACACACACACAGCAGAACTGGGAGATTGGACCAGGCAGTGAGAACTGATTGACTACCAGTTGCAACCAGAATTATGGGGCCAGCCAGCTGACAGACAGGAAGAGAACCTGCTGAAGCCTGGCTGCACATACTGCACACTTTATTTGGGTGCACTAACATTACTCACGCCCTTCTCCAGCCCTGCTGCAGTCCTTTATCACAGACAGTAGAAAGAGGTGAAATGCCTCACAGGAGCCTCTTACCCAGCTCATCCTAGTGCACAGGTGCCTACCTGGGTTCTGAGCTGTCTCCCTCCTCTGTCTCCTGGCTCTGGGCTCACCTCTCCTCTCCCTGTGACTGATCTTTGCAGAAAGAATGTGTGATCTTTTCCATCACTCTCACCTTCCTGGGCTTCCTGGTGGTGTTCGGAGAACATCCGACTCCTTCATCTAGAGCAGGAGCTGCAGGACGGGCCTGCCTGCTGCTGTGTGGCGGCTGCCTTGTCCTGTGCCTCTGCTCTGCATCCACAGGAGCTGCTTCCTCTCCCTGAACACACTTCCCACATGTGTACACACAGGCACACACTCACATATGTGTCCGTGCACTCAGAGATGCCTGCTCCCTTATGCCTTAGGCCCAGTCGCATGAGTCCTTAGTCCTAAATCTGCTCCTTTCTCTAGGCTCTGCTGGCCTCACTACCCAGGGATGACATGAAGTGAAAGTAGACATCCTCTGTTGAATGCTCGGTTTGCCAGGCTGCAAGTGACCACAAGCATCACCTCAGCTAACCCCCACAGCCACCTTGGGAAGCTGCCTGTCATTCACTTTCCAGATGTGGAAACTGAGGCTTGGAAAATTGAAGTAACTGACACAGTTTTGTCCCGCAGTTCTGGCCCTTCCTCCCAATGCCATTGAATGGAACACACTTCGTTCACAGCTACTTGGTCCATGTGAGAATTTGCATAACCGCTAACTCTCATTACTCGTGGCCATTTGGAGGGAAAGGACAGTGTCTTCTTGTTCTCTGGTCCTCAGGACCAAGCTCAGAGCCTGGTCCCCTGGCAGGTGCGCAGTTACTGCTGCAGGGAGTGCTGTTATGAGTTTCTTCCAGGAAGCTCCCCCTTTCTATTGGGCTCAGAGGCTGAGTCCCTGGAAGACCTGGGAGGCTCAAATCATGGCCTTTCCTTGTATGGGTCCCAGGAAAGGCCCTAGCTATGTCCTTCTGTGGTTACCTATTTTTATAAATAGATGTACCCTGAATTGGTCATGTTTGTGGTTAACAAAACCTAGATCAGTGTGAGATGTCTGTTGAAAGTACAGATTTTCATCCCTGCCCCAAAACACAAAATCAGGCCGGATTCTTGCCTCGCTATTTTTGCACCTGCTCTGCACCAATAGTTTTCTTATCCTCTGTTGGCACACCTGCTTGGGGTGCTTTAGAGTCACTGAATTCTGGCACCTGCTGATAGCCCCCTCTCCTGTTTCGTGTAAACCAGCTGACGCCTGTAGGAGGGTCCTGAATTCTCTGAATGATAGCAGTCCCTCCCCTGGCCTACGCTGATTGGAGCTGGGCAGAGAGAGGGCAGAGCTGGCTAGCACTTACAGCCCTGAGCTCTGCCCTGGCCCTTAGCCCTTATTTGCTTCTAAAGGGTCCTCTGTGCTTTCTCGTCCAAGCCAAGCCTCTTACCTCCAAATAAGTGATGCCATCTTAGTCAGTGTCCAGCATCCGAGGGGCGGGAATAACTCAGAGCCTGACAGGGCAGAAGGACAGGCTGGGGTGCAGGGAGCTGAGACTCTGACTGTCAAAGATCAGAAAGGCTAAAATGCATGGGGCTGTTTCTGCACCCTGTATTCTGTTCCATTGACGGGTATGCTGGCTTTTTAGCTAGAACTATGCTGTTATTATTACTGTGGCTTTGTAATTAATTCAGATTGAAGCCTGGGATTGTAATGCCTCCTGCCTTCCTCTTGTTGACCAGGATTGTTTTGGCTATTGTCTATTT